AGTAAGTAAAGCAGTCAAATGTTTCAAGTTAAATACCTATTTCCATGGTTTAACAATATGATAATTATTGATGGTTAACTTTAACTGTTGATTAAAATATTTACATCCACAGCCTGCTTTCCGTCTGTTGGGACATGTTTCCCCTCGGGCAGAGTGCTGTGATTTACATCTTGGCTGCCTGTCCCCACGCAGAAGCCCTGCTGGGAGAGAGCTGCCTAGACTGCCTCCTCACAGAGCCAAACTACTGTCCTGGGTCGGCACTGCAGCGTGCTTTCCAGCCAGCTGGGTCCGCCTGTCTGGACCGTTTAGAGTCCACACATCTCTTCTGAGGGGAGAGTCCGGCTGTCCTGCCGACCCTCTGCCAGCTCTTGCCCTTTCCGGCATCTCCTGAACGCTCTGCGCTCTTTCTCTTGGCATTTCCCCCAACCCTCTCTCCTTTTCTTTTGCTTCTATGGGAGCATGGCCGTGCCCCCATTTCCCAAGTACGAGAATCTGCATGGCACACCCGCATTAGACCAGGAGCGAAGAACAAAGCACAGGCTCGTTCCTCTGCTGGTGCAGGAGAACAATCCCTGGGGTGTGGTCGCAGCGGCCGGCAACCCACATTGGAATCGCACCAATTCGTTTAGTCGCCGGACACAAGGCGGGCTCCACCTGGAGCCCAGCCCTTCCCCTCGGCAGGTGGACACGCCAGGAAGACAGCAGGCCTCCCGGAGTGCTTCACAGGCCTCAGCGCACGCTGGTCCACCCAGTCTGAGGAAGCCGCACTGGGCTGGAAAAGGACCCTACTCGCCCACAGCCTGGAAACTCTTTGCAGAGTGTCATTCAAAATTAGTAAGAAACCCTGTGCCTGAAGCCAGTGAACCTGCCTGTGAGCTTAAATGGCTCCCACCTGCAGATGGAGAACTGAGGAAGCACAAATTTCACAGGCCAAGACCTCTCAGAGCACTGAGGGAGGAAGTCAATCCTGGTAGTGCAGGAAGCGCATCCGTCAGACTCGAGAGGCCTGCCTAATGCAGGCTCGCGGCTTCTTTTCATGTCAATCACACCACCTCCACTATCCTTTAATAAAATCAATGGTGACTGATTTACTTAGCTTTTCTCCGTGGGGAAAACATGATAACGCACTTTGCCTTCATTCAATCTTAGAATTCAAAAAATTTCAAAAAAAAGAAAAATCGGGGCTTTAATCCTGAGCTTGGTTAAGGAGATGCAGGCCAGGAAGACAAGTTTTAAGGCAATCCACTATGATTACCAGGCCTGAAAACAGCTTTCATGCTTAGCCTTGGAACCTGAATTGTAATCACAACCCAGCGAGACTTAATATCCCCATGAGGAGAGAACAGTACCCACCGCTTCGTGGCTTAACGTAGCCAAGTTCACACTTGAAAGTGATGTCGTGAAATCTATTACTTTGCACAAATAATGTATGATAGTGAAATGTTCTAAGAGGCTCTCACTAGAGCCTTCCGTAGCCTACTTCATGTGCCCCCCAAATGAGGATGGAATTACATAAGAAATGGGACTGCCGTTTGACCTTCCGCTGGAAACACCGTATTTGGCTGACTCTCAGGATCCATGCTCGGCCACACAGCTCTTCCCTGCCCTGGTCTCCACACAGAGCACCGGCTGCAGCTTCCCCTGGAGTGGAGTCCTAAGAGCCTACATACCAGTTCCCACCTTAGGTCCTTTCATCTCCCCTGAGAACACGGTGTGCAAAGCCCTGGACCAGTGTTGCATGCTATTTTTAACCATATGTACCTCTGACTGTGAAGCCCGTGCTCCCCGGGTTAAAGGCCAGGGAGCCTCCTGGGGAACACTCAGCTGCCGCTTTCTTTTCTCCCAGACACTGTTTCCAGGTAGGAGGCAATAGGACCATTTCAGGGACCACGATGCAGATGAGCCTGTGCACATATGCCCTGGGATGTCCTTGACCTTGTCTCGGCCATGTCTTCACAGCCATAGCCCTTTCCCTGTGTCCAGTGTCTACAGGGACCAAAGACGCTCGGCCCTGGGCGGACCCATCCCGCCTAAGCTGAAACAAGCGCAGAGGCCAGAGCTCCGGGGAGGCGTGGGGTCCCAGCTGAGGTGGCAGCTCTTCTGGTATATTATGTAATGGGATTGCCTCCCCATACTCTCCAAGCAGGGCGGGCGGGCGGGCACATCATGTTTTAAATCCACTCTCCATTAAAAGCTCACTCGTGGCTCTCCTAAATGGGTTAGTTTTTTTTTTGAAGAGCCACTTAAAGGCCGACCCCCAGGTGAGGGCCTAGAGCAGACTTGCTCCCAGGGGCCCTTTCAAGCAGAGGGAGCCTCTTGCTCCTCCCACTGCTGCTTCGCACCAGTGGGCCTTGCTGGGAGGGCTTCAACAGTAGCTGCTGTTTACATCCCCCAAAGCGCTTTCCCAACTCAGCTCCTAAGTTGGTTGCTCTAAGCACACCTGACACACTTTAGTGCTGATGTGACAATCAGGTGCCCCCGAACCACCTCTCCTCTCGCACTGCCCTAAATTTGGACTTCATTTCCTTGCTATACTTAAACTGTTCTATTTGACCATGTCTCTCCCCTGTACAGTTTAAAGCCAGCCTTCAGGCCAGCTTAGTGTTGTCCCAAAAGTCCCAAAAGTGCAGGGCTGGCCCAGGGAACATTGGGCCCTTCGGGGTCTTTTCTGCCCAGCCCAGGTTTGTATTGACTCAAGGGAAGAAAGCTAGAGAAGCTAGAGATCTCCGGAGTTTCTTCAGCTGCAATGAACCCTAGGGACTACAGAAGACTTTCAACACACACACACACACACACACACACACACCCCTGCCTCAGGCCCAAATAAGCCTGCGAGCAGAGAGAAATTAACACCTCTGCCTTGACCGACAACTAGCCAATCAGCACATTAATGATCGTGTGCTGCAGCCCTGCTTGGGGTTAACACTTGAAGCCATTTGTAGATTTGTAGTTCACCCAACTGCAGAAAACCTTTGGGACTCAGCGCCCATCCCAGTTTCATAGCTGCTTGACCTTTTTATTAAATGTTTAAAGCACATTTAACTTTTAGTAAAAGGACAAATTCCTCTTTAGGGACGTGGAGCTGGGCCAGCAGGGGGAGATGGGGAGCAGGGGTGTGGGTGAGATGCTGAGATGATGCAGGAAAACTTGGGGTGTGGAAGGACTAGGGCACAGAAGCAGGCCCGCATCTCGGGGGCTTTTGCCTGCAGGATTAAAGGAATGAACACCCAGGCCGCGACAGTACCTCACAGACAGCAGGGCAGGGTCGGAAGTGTGAGGCTGCCATGTTACACAGCAGAAAGGAGGCTGAGACCCTCCAAGCTGCGGGTTGCACTTGGGACAGAGCTCCTCCCTGGAGTCCCACACAGCTGAGACATCTGCTCAGCTGGGTGCCCAGTGAGGCCCTGGAGGACCTCCCGAGGCATGAGCCTCCGCAGGGAAGGAGTGTAGAGCTCTGTGCCAGGTCACTGGGTGGGCACAGGAGAGGCCCCACCCAGCAGGTGGCCACTCCCCTGGGCATAAGGGAAGACACCTGTCCTCAGTGCCCTTGCTCTTCAGAGCCCTGCTTCCTTTCCCCGCTTCCCTTCCCCGCTCACACCTCCTTCGGCTCCTCTCTGCCCCCGTTGCATGTGGACAGCACAGGGCACCTGCTACCAGCCTACTTCAGTGTGACAAGGCTAGTCCTGGATCTAGCTGGTGGCTGGGAATCAGCTAGTCCAGGTCTCTGTGCCTCAGTTTCTTCGTCTGTCACCAACAACCCAGGGTGCTGAGAGGCTCACAGAAGGGGACACGCGTAGGCGTGCTTGGCGCGCTGCTCTCAGCCTTTACACCACGAAGCAACCAATGGCTGTCACGGTGGCTCCTGTTCCCAGGGTTGCCAGGAGACTCCCATCTCCCAGCCCAGAAGCTCCCTCCCCCAAGCTCCTGGCTCTGCCCAAAGCCCGGAGCCTCGACGCTGTGCCACCTTGTCCGTCTGCCTATGTGTATATCCAAAGCCACACGTAAAGAGACAAGAGCCGTGAAGACGCACTTGATTTCTGAAGTTGTTAATTCTACTCCAGACTTCCAAAAAAAGATCACCCATCTGTCAAACAATTTTTAAATAAAATACAAAGAAGATAACAGATCTCTCAAAATAATTAAGTATCAACCAAGAGGAAATGAAAACAGACTTGGCTGGGTTTCTGGTTAAAAGAGAATAGCATTGTATAACCCCAGATCTTCATGTAGGAGAGATTACAACCTCTGTTTAAAAGAAAACTATGCAGCATAACACGTTCTGAACACACTGACTCAGAAAAGGGGCTTGGGTTTGAAGTGAGCTTTTCTGCCAACAGCTCCTGATGCCTCCGAGGTAGATTCTCTCTCTCTTTCTTTTTCTCTCTCTCTCTCTCTCTCTCATACACACACACTCACATATACACTCACAGAGACGTACACTCACACGCTCATACACACACACTAACATACACACAAACACACTCACGCTCAGGCTTGGCCTCTGCATGTTTCCAGGGGCTCTAGTTAACTGACTAACAGCGAGCTCCTCACAGCCATGCCTCTGCAGGAGCTGCCACCCGGGCACAAATCCTCACCCCTCCCCGGCTCTCCTCTGAGGCTGGATCTCCCAGGTGCCTAGCACTGCCTGCTAACATTCAGATTGTGTCCCACGGAATCACGTGAGGACACACTCCCTGGAAGAAGCACAGACCCTCATAAGAGACAAACAGCTGGGTTTCCCTTCAGAGTACAGAACCCGAAGTCATCGATCAGAAACCATACACCTACCCTTTCTCTATAGAAGGCTGATTTCAAAAGTTGCAAACTTGACCCGTTTCCACACTGCCGTTCAAGCCCCGCTATCAGGAGTCTGCCCTCAAAGCAAACAGCGCCAGGGTCCATCTACCCCGCAGCCCACGGGACCCTTCGTGTTCCTGGACGCCCGAGGTGCAGAGCCTCTCATTACCCCTTTTCCCTGTGCGCGTCCAAGCAGTGCTCACCTCACTCATGTTGGCCCGACTCCGCAGCTCGGTCCCACGGAACAGCGCAGAAGGCAATGCTCGGAGGTGGCTGCTTCTCTGGTCCTGGCTTTTCTCTTAAAAAGAGCTGCTGGGTGGCACCATGCCTCCCGCCAGCCAATGAGATGCGCTTACCTGTCTGGACGCCAGCAGAAATCCGAGAGTGCCAAGAGCCACCTAGTGGAGCAGGGCGGAACTGCGAGACTGCTCCGCTCCGCTTCCACCCAGGAGCCGAGAATTTGTGGCTCACCAGAGCGTCCACCCGGAAAGGATTCTACACCCTGCCACTGAGACGCTTGCTCATCCTTGTTCGTGGCTGCTCCGGTCCCAGTAGTGAGGAAAGAGAATCAGCCTGGCTGCCCATCAGCAGACGAATGAATATTGTGCTGTGGTACAGAAGGTTTATTCATCCATAGGAAAAAAAGGCATGGTGACATTTGCAGTGAGATGGATGAAAAGGGGAAATACTGTAACACGTGAGGTAAGACAGACTCAGAGACAGGTGTTCCCGCTAGTATGCAGCAACCTACTTCAGCTCTTTGCATGTGCATTTATTTGAATGAGGATGGGTTCGAGGAAGGGGGGGACAGGGTAAAATAAGACCTGTGGTATGAAACTGGACAGAAAACACTGGGTGTTGAAGGACAGAAGTGAGAAAGATGGATGAAAAATAGGGAGAAGATCAGCCACAACTAAGGGTGTGTGCCTCAAGCAAACCTGCTGCTTTGAAAGGTTCTGTTTTAATTTAAAGGAGAGATGAGCAGTCATGGGCACACAGCTGGCCACAGGGCTGCTGCTGTTGATGTATCAGGAGGTCCTGGATTCACACTCTTGGGGCGTGTACCTCACACGTCTGTAATTGGCAGGTTTAGTTTCCAGTGAAGAGCAATGGGAAGCCTTGTATGAAGGGGCTCTTGTCCCTCCCAGGCTTCCATCAACTGTCTCCTCCCTCCCTTGAAGGCACCAGCCTCAGACTTTAGAGGTTACCGTTCTTTTCCCTGAACTTCACCCCATCTGTCCACCTGCTTGGATTGTGGGTGGAAGGACGTGAACACTTGTGTGTTGTGACCTTTGGAGTCTAACACACCTGAAGCCCACTTGGCAATGACAGAGGGGAGAGTAGCTCTTTTGCCTTAGATTTGGAAACAGGGCCCCACACACGGTCTTCTCATCCTGGCCTTGTCTAGCCTCTTGGGGAAGAAGCCCCTGTTTTCCCCTCAGTCCCAAGCTTGGGAGCCTTGATCTCCACACTGAAATTGTGGTCTCTGCCAGGAAAGAAGCATTTGCAACCTCTGTTCTAGCTGATCCCAGTGAACCTCAACATGTCAATGCCCCAAAACCTTCCCCAGTTCCCCAATACCTGTCCTAGTATCCCTAAAACCTTCGTAGTGTCCCCAATACCTGTCCCAGTGCTTTCCTGCACCCAGAGAACCTACGTTACACCGTGTCTACTGACTTCCTCCTCTCAGCTCAGCTGTGCCCTCTTCAAGCTGTCATTCTTGTGCTCCCAGCCCCACCATCACAGCCACGAGCCCTGCTAAGAGCTCTAGGACATGTGCATGGGTGTGAATGAGGACAGAGAGCAGCAGGCCGGAGTCTCACCGACAGCTACCACGGGGGCACGGCCTCATAAGTCAGAGCCTTGTCATGGGCTTCATGTCTTCCGCATGAAACACTGGATGCATATTTCACAGAGTGAAAGCTGTGGATGGCATGGATACAATATGTGTGTGCATGTTTGCTCCTGTGCATATTGTTGCATGAACATATCATATAGTATCGACAAGTTAGGTATGTATCCTAAGCATACAAACAGCAGCCTCTTCTTCCTCCCTCTCTTCTTCCCTTCTGTGTGCCCAACTTGCCCTCATGAAGGCTCAATATCATGGGCTCCTGGGTATCCCCAGGTCCTGGAAGTAGACCCAGGACCATGGCGCTGTCTGCAAACAGCCCAGATGAAGGGAAACCTGCTCATCCCCAGAGGAGACCCACACGGCTTCTCCTGGGAGATGCCTGACTTGGAAATCTGAGCCCCAGGCACCATACGGTGGAGGACACAAGCCCTCAGTGGTAACTGGACAGAATTCCATGTGGGTTTTTACAGCCAGGACTCCTGCAGAGAGGAAAAGCAGAGAAGTCACTGAGAGCCAGCCCTTACCTACTCACCAAAGGCTGCAGCAGACCTGAGTTTTCTACTAACACACAAAAGAATGTGTGTGTGCTTGCAGCTTCCTGGAGTCTGGCAAAGAGGAAGCAGGTGCCAAGAGAAAGCCTTGGATTGGACATGCCAGGCTGGGCTGCAGCTTCAATTAGTCAAATATGTAATTGTTGGGGATGGACATGCTCGAGAAGGTGAGGCTGGAACAGCCTGAACTGGGCACCACTTCCCAATTCTCTAAGCCCCAGTAGCTTGAACCCTGGCTGTTTGGGCACCTTCTCTTCATAGAGATAATCACAAAGACAGCCTGGTCCGAAACGCCAGGTGTCTTCGTGAGATGAAGACACAAGCACACAGAGGGTGACTGTGGGAACTAGGGAAGAAGTCATCATCTGTAAACATCCTGTCCTGCACACACCCTCAATGTCTGGGATGTAAGCCCTGCCCTGTGGTGCTCTGAATGAGAATGGCTCCATGGGCAATCATGTATTCATAGTAACCATATATCTGAATACTTGGACCCCAGTTGGTGGGACCATTTGGGGATTATTAGCTGTGTCTTGCTGGAGGAGGTGTGTCATTGGGGTTTAAAACTCTCACTCCATTCCCCATCCCTCCCTCCGTTCTCTCCCTCCTTCCCCCTTTCTGTCTATGGTTCTGTCTCAAGGTGTGTGCTCTCAGCTAGGGCTCTCTGTTCTAGGACCAGCCCTGCCTGCCAGCAGCCATAACCCCTGCCATGATGCTCAGGGATTCTAACCTCCTGGAAGCCCCAGGTAAACGCTTTCTTGTCTGGTTGCCTTGGGAGTGTCAACTTATCACAATAGAGAAGCCACTAAGACTGGTGCTCTGTTTTGGTGAGCTCACAGCCAGGGACTTCTCGGAGAAGAGGTTGAAGCTCCTTACGGAGGACCCGCACACCCGCCCGCCCCTTAGAGGGGGTCCTCACCTTCTTCAGCAGAATGGCTGCCCCATGCGTGTGCAGTTGTACCCGGTGTCTTTGAGGTGTGCACATACACACGCATACACACACATACACACACACACACACACACAAGCAAATCCAAGCATGGCCACGTGGGTACAGCCACCCTCACCCATGAAAGTGGAAGCACGTCTTACAAGCAGGCACCAAGCACACAGCCACCAGCTCCTAAGGTGCCAGCGACACCGTCAGGGCTGTAGGGAGCCAGCCTTCAACCTGAGAATTGAAAGCTCCTCAGCCGGGTCTCAGAACCTCTCCCCTAGGGCTGAGGACAAGAAATGTTCTCTAGGCCTTCTGAGCCGTTCTGCTAGGCAGTCAGTTCTGAGAACCACTTGAAGCAGTGATAAGGGACAGACACGCTCATATGCACACATGTACACACAAATATATATACAGGCATGTCATGCATGTAGACATACATAGATACACAAATATGTAAACACAAACACTCTTGATGACACTACATACATACATGTATGTGTGTGCATACACCCCCGCTCTCCAACCAAACCTTCCAGACTTCCTTCTCCGCCCCTGCCTAACCCCTCACTCTTTTAGGGTCATCTTAGTTATTCTTTGCCTTTTGTATACTGATGTCCACGGGGAGACATTTCAGGATTCCCTCACGATGTCAAAATCTACAGGTGTTGAAATTATCTGTCTAAAATGAAGCCTTTGTGGAGGGCCCTCTCGGTCCCTCCCACCACCATCTCCGGATCCCGCTTACACTGCGACAGTGGCACAGAAAACAGCAAGAAGGAAAAGGCTGCCACTCCCCAAAGTTCTTAAACGGCCCCTCACACTCTGCAGATGGCGAGCCCATGGGTATTCAACCAGCTTCAGCTTCTCCCTCAGCTTCCCGAGGCTCCCACAGCGCTGCATCACCAGAAGACATGAGCCAGGAACCTGGGACCCGAATCCAGGTCCTCAGCGTCCAGCCTTCTCTACTGATAACGGAAATATGAGAATCTTGCCTCTGTTAACCTCAGCTGTATGCATGCAGGCACTGTGTCCATATATGCGTGCACATATCTGCACTAAGTACATCGAATTGAGCCGGGAAATAAACGCTGAAGGAACTGCAGCATAGCTAGGAGAGCTTCACCGATTACATCTCAGGTCATGTTTTACCCTTGTTATGTTAAAATATAGACAGCTTTTATAACTTATGAAAAGCGTGTATGTGTGTGTGTGTGTGTGTGTGTGTGTGTGTGTGTACTCATGCAGTAAAGATGTGCTCTTGCCTGGGGGAGTAGAGCTGGGCCAAGAAATTGATGAAACTATAAGCACACTCTAACTTTGAATGGGGGCTTTTAATCTGATTTTTATGCCAAATGCATCATTCTTCAGACACGGAAGAAAAAGATTTTTAAGCCTATTTTACGCCAGGCCTTATATAATCCCAGCTGCCTGCGGGTCTATTGTAACCCCCAAGTACTTGCAAGAATGAGGCAGGAGGATGTCAGCCTCAAAGCCAACCTGGACAACTTAGTGATCCTGTCAAAGCAAAAAGGGAGGAAAGAGTCAGGGTGCAGCTCAAAAGTAAACACATTGCCTGGCATGTGCAAGGCCCAGGTTCAATCCCAAGAGAGAAAGGAAGGCAGGAAAGCAGGAAGGAAGGAAGGAAGGAAGGAAGGAAGGAAGGAAGGAAGGAAGGAAGGGAGGGAGGGAGGGAGGGAGGGAGGGAGGGAGGGAGGGAGGAAGGAAAGAAGGAAGGAAGGAAGGAAGCTCCCTCCTGTTTCTCCTGCTTTTGCTGCTTGGCATCTCCATGTGTTACAGCCCAGATGACACTATGTGCCCACACAGCACTGTTAAAGACGACACTATGTGCCCACACAGCACTGTTAATCTCTGCACAGGAAGTTTTGGTACTGGGAAAAGAATATAAGCTATCCTTCAAAGGGACCAGAGCAAGCCTTGGCTATGGTTCAGTTTCCATACTACCCCTCCTT